CACGTACAGCAGGGGAACCACTGCCCTCTCACTCTCACTGCCATCCAGTGAGTGCTGACGCAGAGTAGCCCCCTGTGGGTTTCCAAGACCCTGACTGCTTATGGGAGTAGAAAGCCCAGTCTTTCTCCTTCAGATCTGCTGGTGGTTTTGAACTGCCGACGTGTCACCACTACACCACTGGGCCTCCTTCAAAACACTGCCCAGTCCTGCACCATCTTCATGATGATTATGTTGGAGCCCAAGGTTGTAGTCACTATGGCAATCCATCTTACAGGTCTTCCTCTTTGCTGCTGTCCCTTCACTGTCCCAGCAAGATGTCCCTCTCCAGGGAGTGCTCGCTCCTGATAACACGTCCAAAATATGAGAGACCATGTCTTGACATCCTCGATTCTAAGGAGCACCTGGTGTACTTCCTCCACCACAGATCTGCATGTTCCTCTGGCTGCACACGGCACGTTCATGCAAATGCACCGATCCTTCTGTCTTCTTTAGGCAGCGTCCAACTTTCCCATGCATAGGAGCAGATTGGAAATACCATGGTTTGGCCCAGGCCCACCTCAAGCCTCAAAGTGACCTCTTTGCGCTCAACACTGTAAAGAGATCTTGTTTATCAGATTTTCTTACTGCAGTGTGTCGCTGGATTTCCTTTGTACTTGACGAGGACAGCATGAACATTTTAGAGGGCTGCATTAAGTCTGAAGGCTAGCTCCACTCAAATGTTGGGAGCCCTGATGTGCTACCACTCACTGTAGGAAGCAAGCTCCTTTTCAACAGCCTCTGGGAGTGGATGAAGACAACATTAGCATTTGGGTGGCACTGGGATTAGCCTTTGCATTAGCAAATGAAAAGCATTAGCATTTGGCTAGACCAGGATTCTTCACCCTATAGGACAGGGTGGAATTGCCCCTGTGGGATCCTGAGATGGTTGCTGTGAGAGGCCTGGGCTCCATGGCAGTGAGTGCTGTTTGAGACTTATAAAAGCCAGAACAGCATTTCCTGGGCAGTTCTAAGAGAATCTTTTGCATTTTTAATGCCACAGCTTATTTGGTATGCTAATGCACTCAATTGAGCGAAGTCATAACTGAATCCCAAGAGTTCATAAAAGTTAATATTCCGAAGGAAGCCACCATCCCTTGCAGGCTGTTTGTTTGTTTGTTTGTTTGTTTGTTTCCATCTAAGGTTCAGGAGCCCTAGTGGTTGAATGGGCTGCACATTGGGCTGCTAAGCACAAGGCCAAGAGTTGGGACCCACCAGTGGCTCCATGAGGAGAGAAGAGACTTTCTACATCTGTGCAGAGTGACAGTCCCAGAAACCCACAGGGGCAGTTTGACTCTGTCCCATAGAGTCACTGTGAGTCAGCATGGACTCGATGATAATAGTTTGCTGTTGTTCTTGTCACTGCAAGGTTGAAAGTTACAAGCCACCAGCTGCTCCATGGGAGAAAAATGAGATTATCTTCTCCCATACAGATTGACAGCCTTGGAAACCCTTGGAATATAACGTTGCTCTGAGCCGGAAGGGTCTGGGTTTGGATTTAGTGGTCAGGTCCAGCTGGCCTCTGGCTGTAGCTCACATGTGACCTCTAAAAGGTGGGCTGCTATCTTGGTTTCTGCAGAAAGGAGACTTTTTGAGTGGAGCTCATGGAACTTGGCCCAGGAAGTGCCTCTCGGGCACATGGTGTGCGTGTGCGTGTGTGTGTGTGTGTGTGTGTGTGTGTGTGTAAGTGCCTCTAGGGTACATGGTGTGTGTGTGTGTGTGTGTGTGTAAGTGCCTGTGTGTGTGTGTGTGTAGAGATGGGGCAGGGGCAGTAGTCTCAGCCAACTCAGGTAGGCTCAATGAGGTGCTCTGAGCCCACCCTCACTTTCACCGAAAGCCCAGTGTTGTAAGTACTCTCGCTCCCTTTGTACCTGAAGGGAAGTAAGGTTCAGAGAAGTTCATTGGCAGGCTAGAATCAGTATTCGGTTCTGTGTGACCCCATAGCCAGTGCCCATCCTTCTACACAGGTGGAGGACCCAGGACCTTAAAGGGGGCTTCTTAGGACAAGACATAAATGCTTTCAGCCAGAACCGTGGACTTGGGTTCTCAGGTCTTTTGGGAACTGAAGCTGTGATCCTGGGCTGGCCCATCCATGAACAGTGCCCACTACACGTAGCTAAGGTTCCTGGCCAAATCCCTTGTCGAATGGAAGGTGGTGCTAATGATCAAAAACTACAAATTCATTGCGGAGTAGCGAGAATACTCAGGAGCATGAGGAGGCGTTCTACTCCCACAAACAGTTACAGTCTCAGAAATCTACAGAGGCAGTTCTGCTGTGCCTTGTCAGGTCACCATGAGCCGGAAATTCCCTTGATGGCAGCGAGTGAGAGGAAACTGAAAGGACTCTTGGAGTTGAGCAGCTGGCCAGCATCCGATGGTGGTGCTGTGGGCTAAGCACTGAGTCACTAGTTGCAAGGCCGGTGGTTCAAACCCGCTAGCTGCTCCCAGAGGGAGAGATGAAGTCTTCTGCTTCTGTGAAGACCGATGGCCTCGGGAACCCTAGGGACCCTGTCCCGCCGTGTCACTCGACCTGAAGATGGAGGGGCGAGGTTATGGTGAACACCAAGCCTTGTATGTGGTGCCACTGTCCGCAAGGGTACAGGTGCTGCCACAGGGTTAAGAGTGTGGTGACCTTCAGGACACCCCAGTGGTGGCAGCAGAGGAACCCTCAGAGACCCCATCTCGTGGCCATTGAGGGCCTTTCTTGGTGTCCCGAATAAGCTCGCAAGATGATCTACTTTCCTGCCATTTCTTTGTCCTCACAGAGTGACTGCTACTTCAGACAGAATCCCAGGGGTGGCCGGCCCCTGCAGAGGGCCCCTGGGCAGCACGGACCTCCAGCCTTCCCCTAGATTACTTGCATACATTCTTCTCCTACGAATCCAGGCCACTCTGGGGGGGAGGGGGAGGGGGTGCTGGTCTCACCCTGTCAAACACACTGTTTAAACACGTCTCTGCCATCCGTGGGTTCTCTTGGTAATAACTCTAAGATCCAATTAAGAAAACAGTGGATCCAAGAGGATCTACTGGGCTAGTTCAATTCAAGCCGAGAGGTCGCTCAGAAGATTATGACAACTTTGTTTTGGGGGAGTCCAAAGGGGTCAGTCATCTCAGTAGATTTCCTGAGGGACAGAGGGTGAGTGCCGGAGCGTATCAGGAAGCAGCGTGTGAGCCCAGATGGAGGCTGTGTCCAGAGGCAGCAATGTTTCATTTAGGTATTTTTCTGTGATAAAGGCTTATCTGGTTGTGTAGCAGTGCTTTTGATTTGCTCTGACAACCTAAGACAGGCCAGCACTGCTAACCCCGCACCCCTCCTCTTCTCCCTAGTGGTACTCACGGGTACATGGCTCCCGAGGTGTTGCAGAAGGGGACGGCATACGACAGCAGTGCTGACTGGTTCTCCCTGGGCTGCATGCTCTTCAAACTCCTCAGAGGGTGAGTCATGTGCTGGGTTGGAACCTGGAGAAATGAGAAGCTACCCGACCCCGACAGTAGGGAGTGGCTATGAGTCAGAAGCAGCTCTCGGCTGGGGGTTTAGTGCGGATATTATTTGGATGTTGCTGCGTGGTGCTGTAGGTGAGGTGTGGGGCTGCTCACTACAAGATGGGTGGTGGTTTGAACCCACCAGTTGCTCCCAGGGAGAAAGTGGAGGATGGCGGATCCCATAAAGATGGGTGGTCTCAGAAAAACTCCCCTCTGTCCTAGGGGTCACTCTGAGTTGGACTAGGCTCAGGTTACTCTGAGTTGCAAGAAGGCCTGGTGGCAGAGTGGGTAAGCTCTGGGATGCTAACCAAAAGATGGGGCAAGTCACGCTCACCTGCTGCTGCTCCAAGGGAGAGAGACGTGGCAGTCTGTTTGCATGAAGATCTCCCCCTTGGAAGCCCTGGTGGGTAGGTCTTCGCTCTTTTCCATGGGTGCTGTGGGCTGGAATCAACTCGACAACAACTCTTATGGCTTGGGGATTTTTAGGGGGAGAGACCAGTCCCTGTAGCGAGGCGTCACACTTGGGAAAGAAAAAGAAGGCCCTTCGTTGAAGAGATGGACTGACAGTGGCTGCAATGATGGGCTCAAAAATAACAACAATGGTCAGGATGATGAAGACTGGTCAGTGTTCCCTGCTGTGGCACTTGGGGTCGCTTTGGGTCAGCATGGACTCAATGGCACCTAACAACAACAATAACAGCCTGTGTGTACAGCTGGGTAGACTAGAGAAACTCATTCATGGACACGCATATGTGTATAAGAAAGAGCTTTCCATACAAGAGCAGTTAAATATTGAGAAAACATCTCAGCCCAGATCAAGTCCATAAGTCCAATATTAGCCCATATGTCCAATACCCATCTATGAAGTCCTCTTCAGACTCACAAAACACAGGCAGTGACGCCGAGTGCAGGAAGATCACAGGCCAGTGGGTGGGAAGTCTTGTGGATCTAGTGGCATTGTAAGCATCTCAGTGTTGATAGGGGTCTCCATGTGGCTTCTCCGGCTCCAGAGGTCTGACTCCATCAGCCTCTCTCCCTGTGGCTTCTCCACAGGGAGTGAGCCTGGTCAGTAGAGAGTCTCCAAGGGAGGAATACCAGAATTCCCAGAACCCTCAGGAGAAGGCCATGCCCCCACAGAGGCCTCATTGACTATGATTTGATTGACAAGCTAGAATCCACCCTACACTCAATCCTCAAACGATTAACAAATGATTGACAAACGATTATGTAACTACCATAACTTGAAACCAAAAGGTTGGAGGACCGAGCCCACCCTGAGACACCTCAGAACACCTGGCAATTCCCTGGAGCACAGTTCTACCCACACAGACTGTCCAGTAGCCATGAGCTGGAAACAACTCAATGTTAGCGGTTTTTATGATTTGTAAATGTCATTTTAACCACATGGTCCTCTCTAAGCCACCCATTTGTTTTGAGCAGTCTCCCTCAGTGTCGGTGATACATCGCCCCTAAAGTCAAAACACAACCAAACTCACGGCCATAGAGTCAGTACTGACTCATGGAGAGCCCATGGGACAGTTTCCGAGACTATGGTTGGTTACAGGTATAGAAAACCCGGGCTTTGTCCTCAGAATCGGCTGATGGTTTCGAACTATCAACCTTGTAGATCTCAGTCCAGCCCTTCACCACGATGCCACTGAGACCTGCAAAAGCAGTAACTTATACTTTATCCTGGCTGGTGAACTACAGTACAAATGTTTTAATTTCTAGGGGAGCTCTGAGTGATTTTTTTTCTTCCTGGAAAGGGCTGATAAGTTTGGGGGGGTCTATGATCTACAAAATAAACTTGTTCTTTCTATCTTATAACATTGGGAGTTTGTGGCCCCAAAACTTAGGGGTGAAAAGCCTTGGGCATAGTATTCCAGCCCCGTGTGAGTGTTGTCTCATCGCGTCAGTTCTCACCTTGTAAGACAGAGTAGCGCGCCTCCAGTGTCGCTTTTAATTTTATCTTTCTCCTGTGACCTCTTTTGGAAGCAGATTGCTAGGTCTTTTCTCCCTCGGACCAGCTGGTGGGTTTGAACTGCTGGCCTCGTGGTGAGCAGTCAAATGCTTAACCATTGTGCCACCGGGGCTCTCTTTTCTCTGCCAGACCATGTAAGGATTACAGTACTTTAAAACCTAAGAGACAGCAGCTTTGAACTATTTCCATGAAAACGCCATGCTCTGGGGAAGAGTTGTTTTACATCATGGCTCAGGGCAGAGGGTAGACACATGCTCTTCCCTTGAAACCAGCTACTTGGGCTTGTCTCGTGAGCTTACAGCATTTTGAGGGGTGCCACGGAGGATGCAGACCCAAACCCAACGCTCTCTGATAGTTTGCATTTATTTGTACGCACAGTAAAGCTGACGTGTGTGCGCGTGTTTCAGGCCGATATGATACTTGACTGTTGTTCTACATGACCAAGTGTGAAGGGATAGAGTGGAAAAGATCATGGAACTGAGCTCCCTTCCCGGTCTGCTCTGAGATGGACTGCTTCACAAGCACGCTAACATGGCCACCAATGAAGACCGTCTTTGTCTGTTTCCTTACATTTTTAAAATGTCTTCCTCCGCAAGCATACGACAATTCTTTTCTTTCTTTCTGTCCTTTTCAGAGTTCTCTTTGTTAGTAGTCTAAAAGACGCCGACTATTTAAAAAAAATAATAAATTGATTTATTGGCGGCTCTTACGGCTCTTATAACATCCATCGTATCAAGCACATTTGTACATATGTTGTCATCATCATTTTCAAAACAATTTCTTTCTACTTGAACCCTTGGTATCGGCTCCTCTTTTTTCCCTTCCTCCACCCTCCCACCCTTGTGAACCCTTGAAACTTTATAAATTAGTATTGTTTCCATATCTTACACCATCCGCTGTCTCCCTTCACCCATGTTTCTGTTGTTCGTGCTCCTTGGGCGGGGAGTGGGGGGGTGGGTGGGGGGGGTGTATGTTATACGACTATCCTTGCGATTGAGTTCCTCCTTTCTCCCCAAACCTTCCCCCTACCCTCATGGTATTGCTACTCCCATTACTGTTCCTGGGGGCTTATCTGTCCTGGATTCCATGTGTTAAGAGCTCTTATCTGTACCAGTGTACATGCTCCGGTCTAGCTGGGTTTGTAAGGTAGAACTGAGTTCATTATTGTGGGGGGTGGGGGCCATTAAAGAACTAGAGGGACGTTGTGTGCTTCATTGGTGCTATACTGCACTCTGGTGACTCGTCCCTTCCTTGTGACCCTTCTGTGAGGGGATGTCCAATTGTCGACAGCTGGGCTTTGGGCCTCCACTCTGACCCCTGATGCCTGATACCTGATCCTGATGGATATGATAATCCTTGACAGTGAAATTTCCTGCTCCGGGTTTCCCTCTTTCTCTATTTCTTTGAAGGCTGCAGCCACGTTCCTTGGCTACTCTGCCCACAGTTTCAGCAGAAGCTCTGACAGAAGCATACAGGGATCCTTGTCTGAGAGCCCTGGGGTACACTGGGTTCAGGGTTGGGTTTTCGGTTTGAACCACCAGCTATTCTAGAGCAGAAGAAAGAGGGGGCTTTCTACTCCCATTAAGAGTTCATCTCAGAAACCCACAGGGACAGACCTACTGTGTGCTATAGGGTCGCTGTGAATTGGCATCGACTCAATGGCACTGAGTGAGCTGCTCTGTGGGATAAAGGTGTGGCTGTCCTGTCTCCATCTGTCAAGATTGACAGCCTCAGAAACCCTACGGGGCAGTTCCACTCCGGTCAATGATGGGGCTATGACTTGGATTGGACTCAACAGCAGTGAGTTTGGTTGGATCTTCTAATTATGTCTGGCACATTCCAGAGGGAGGTGGCTGTCTCAGACATCCCTGGAGCCTCTGCTCCCAGCACCCACAGCAACCACTCTCTAAGCACTGGCGCACCAGAATCACATTAGTGTCTAGAAAGCCAGGCCCTCTGATTCCTTAATTGAATCATTGCATTTGTGGAGCCTGGATGGCCCTAATTCATGGCATCAGATGAGCTGACCTCATCAGAGCCTTTCTGCATAGCGAACAGAGCCAACCTCGTCCAAGCTGAGGAGGCCTCTGTACCCAGTTGAGTTTGCCATGTGCACTGGGAGTGCCCGAAGGGGAGCAACCCCAGTCTTTGTTCAGGATTCCCTCTGGTTAGTGTCCTTAACCATGTGGCCAAAGACCCTTCCAGGAGGGCTCACATCTCTGGGGAACAGTTCAGTCATAGACTGCAGCTGCCCAGGACTCCAGCCTCCCCAGAGGAATGCAAGTTCTTCACGTGCTTGGTGATTCGGTTGGACTTTAATGACGTATAGGCTGGGGAGACGCTGGCAAAAATGCTGTGTCTTCAAGAGCTGAGGGTTTCCCTGAATTAACTCTGTAATCTTTAGCAACATGGTCTGTAGCTTGGCTAGTCATTCAGCCTTCTGAAACTCCAAACTGATTCATGGCCACCTCATAGTGACTGTATAGGACAGGGGAGAACTCCCCCATGAGTTTCTGAGATTAACTCTTTATAGAGGTAGAACGTTGGCATCGGCTCAATGGTAATGAATTTGGTTTGGATTTTTCTCCTGTGGAGCCACTGGTGCTTTTAAAAGGCTGACCTTGTGATTAAAAGCCCATATAACTGCTACTGAATTGTTAACATTGTTGTGGTTTCCATCGAGTCAGCTCTGGCTCCTGGATGCCTCCTGGGTCTGAGCCTGTGGCATCATCATGCTTGCTGGTATCCATGGTGCGTGGGTGGCCAAGTCCACTGTTAAAATCTCATTGTGTCTATCTACTTCCCTGAGGGTTTTCTTGGCTTTTGTGGGTCTTCCACTTCACCGACCATCACACTGTCCTCCTGCCAGCAGTCCAGTCCCCCTTTCCACACGTCATCAGGAGGGGCCCATGGCTGGAGGACTGAATTGAGTGGTATCAATTGTTTTGTGAAGGTCTTGGTCACACCTGTT